TACTTATACTTTAGAACTTCCTATGTATGATTATTTTCAAGACACACTTATTAAAACATAACTTTAATATTTTTTTAAGGTGTATCAATAATAACAATAATAAAGATTATGGCGTTTAAAATATGTTTTCGCTTTTCCGTTGGCAACAATCAAAAAATGTATTGTCTTGTTAACCTTAAGCCCTTAAAGTAAAATATTTCTAAGTAATGTGTTTAAACTTCATTTGTGAATATTTATAAACTAACATTGTATATAAAAAAAAACTAAATGAATACTTTGAAAGAATTTTTTTCCATGAGACATAGATATTTTTGTCTGTCAGTTTTGGCGAATCCAATTGTGTAAAGTTGACTGGGCAAAGTACTGGCCGAGGGCATTAATCAGACCGAGCACACTCTAGCTCTCAGTGGCAGATGCAATAGCTATTCGCTGGAAATTGGATTGTTAGTTTTGAAACCCTCCCGTCCACGTGTGGGGGTCAAAGTTCGGAAGGAGGCGTGTTCGGGGTTCGGTTACGGTTACCTGCATCAGCAGACACTCACCTGTGACGAAGGGTTGCTGTGGCAGCTGGAAAAAGCGAAAGTTAAACTGTCACCGAGTTCACAACTGCCCGCATGCTGTCCGCATGCTGGATGGTTGGGTGTCAAGGGTTAAGTGCATGAGAATGCCACCGTTAACCCCACGCTGCCCGTTCGTTCGCTGTAATGCATTAGCCGTGTGAGTGGAGGAGTCACGGGCACGAGCACAGGCACGGGCCAATCCAATTCCGGAAAACCGGAATCAAACTTTAGCCCTCTTCTCTCCGGAGATGCCATTTCCAATTGTCCGACAGCAAAGCCCCCGAGCAAAAAGACCCCCGATTTAGTTGTCGTTTTCTAGTTGGGGACCCGCTTGACTTTCCCTGGCATTTATGAATAATAGATACTGGCGCCCTCACGCTCCGAGGATGTCAATTGTTTATTTATTGTTCGATTGTTTGTCCCCACCATCTCCAAGCCGCGACATTTGCAAATACAAAATTCATTTGTGTTAAGCTGTGTGAGTGGAAAAATGTACAATTCGGAAAATTAGTTTATGCGCGGCTTAAGCTAAGAAAATGTTGATTACTGTATAAAAAAATTAGATAAAAGACTATGAGCTACTATTACAGATTTTTTATAGATTAAGAAAAGTTTTATTTGTCAGTGCTAAATTTGAGGAGAGACAAAAAATTTAACACTATCGAGGAAATCTAGAGTAAAACTAAAAAAATCGTTAATTTTTTAATATAGAAGAAGAGCATCACATAACAAGATTTGGTTTTTGTTTGAGGTTCTACTGATATAAGACAAGGCAAGCCAAGAAGTCACGAAAATACTGGGCTTTGCATGAATTTAAACATTAATCTTCATAATAGTCTTAGAGAGCAGGCACAGCTTTAATTCAAACTTAAGCTTTTCGTAAACTACAACTTAATCTGCACTAATCATACATATATGAATATGGCACCAAGCTCAAAAGTAAGAGTCACACCTCCATGTGGCCGGAGTGTCAATTACTCTTACTGGCATGGCCATTATTCCCTCTTCTTCACCCTGAATCCACCCGACCTCTTATCCATTGTTGCCACTGTGCTTGTTGTTTGTTGTTTGTCTGTTGATGTTTGGACTCGCCTTGGAGAAATTTTTATGGCTCATAAAATTCGAAATTAGAACTGGTGCTGCCTGTGTCTGAGATACATAGTATAGTACTACATTTCTGAGTGCCTTTGTGCGGAGTATAAAATGTTTATGCTCTGCTCAATGCCGTTCAGCCTGTGAAATCTGGACCCGTCAAGTGGATTTCCTTTTCAGAATTAGTATTACATTTAAATGGCATATAATTTGTTAGCGCCATAATATTTATGCGAGCTGTGGCCGTACACTTTTATTTATGTTCACTTGGCTGCCTCAGTTGCCCCGCAATACCCCAGCTGACAATCAAAGCGCACTTCTTAAGAATTGCGTTTAATTTGCGTGCTACAAGCTTTGGCTTTCCACAATGCAGCGGTGCCACGCGGCGTATGCGCAATTTTCGCATTCTCTCTCTCAACGACTCTTGGGGAAACAATCATTTATGTGTGTTGTTTTTCCGCTGCGTGGATGCGGAAATTTTTAATTGCCGCCCTAAAAGTAATTTGAGAGCATGACTTTTTGTTGCTTCGGATGTTTTTGTGTTCCATATTCGGATCCAGCTGTGCGACTACGTTAAGTTGCTTTCCCAGAATTTACAAAAAAAGCTGAAAACTGTGCTCGACCTTCATTTCTGTTCACGGCAAAAAAATCACAAAAAATCTCATAATTCAAAGAGAAAACTCAGCTTACATTCAAAAAAAACAAACGCAAAGGACAGAAAGAAAAGCAACGAGAGAAAATTGTGAAAAATGAATATCTCCCTGAAGAAATGTGGATATCTGAAATTCTTAATAAGGTTTTGCATCATACACTGAAAGAATACCAAAAGCCACAAACACCACTTTACACTTAATTTAAATTTATGCTACATGAAATGTGGGAATAACAAAGTTTGTTTGTTTTTCTTTAGGTTTTTTTTTTAATACATTTTTTTTTGACTTCCCTTAGCCCTTAAATTTATTTTTTTTCTGCATGTACTGCATTTAAACTGTTTTTTCGTAGGTATTCGAAAAGCTTTTATTTATTTTTCGTTCGATGTTTTCGAACTTATCATTCTGTTTCCATCATCAATGCCCTGCGTGCAGCACTCTCCATAAACCTGACTTTCCCAAAAGTAATCACTGGACTTTCTCTTTCCCATTTCAGCATCCAAATTAGAGCGTGAGGAAAGCGAGTGGGTGGAACGGGGAAATGGGCGCCAGTGGCATAGCGACAACGGCGCCCTTGTCCATCCGCCCGAATCAGCGGCCGGGCACGGTGCGGATGCGTGATGTTCTCGACAACTGTGATGTCCTCGACAACTGAAAATGCCAAGAGGTAGTGCAGTGCCAAAGCAGCACCAGCAGCCGTTGCGAATCGATAGCCACAGCACACAAAGTGCCGATCAGCCAATCAAGGCGATTAACTAAGCGATATAGGGGCATTGCGATACTCAAAGCGACCTCGAAAGGGAAAGCCGGAGCCCCAGGATGCGGATGTGGATGTGGATGCCGCAGGCTGTGCAGCTGCTGTTTCTGATGGGCTTGTGGGTGATGCAAGGTCAGGCGCAACTGGAGGCTGCTGAAGCTGGCGCAGCTGCAGCAGCTGGAGCAGCCGGAGGATCCCCACGGAACCGCATCAAGGCGGAAGCGGATGCCCTGATGACGGGAGACAGCTTCAACATTCGCCACGGGCGCTCTCGTTCGCATTTCCTCCACGGCAGCACCAACAGCACAAGCAGTGGCAGCAATGGCAGTGCCAGTGGCAGTGGCATCACCCGCCTCCTCCTGGTCACGCCCACCCAGCATCCGGGGGCGGGTGGGACATCGCAGCCACCCGTCACGCATAAAATCCGAAAATTGCACAAGAAGAAAATCAACGAGAGCATACGCAAGAGTGTGGACAAAAGTCTGGGTCTCCTCCATCCGCCCAAGAACCACCGCAGTTTGGCCGAGGCCGAGCATCTGCAGGGTCGTCCTGCCAGCGAGGACACCGAGGACACGGCCCTCAGAGAGGTCATGCAGCTGGCGGACGAGCTTGAGCTGGAGAGTTCGTTCGCCACGGCGTCCCCAACAGGAGATCCGGATAAGCAGGCACGCCAATTTGTGCGTGATGAGGCCAGTTACCAGGCGGACGACACTCTCGAGGAGGAGGAGGATGAGAAGGAGGAGGAGGATGAAGAGGAGGAGGAGCCCGACGAAGAGAAGGCATTAGCAGCCACCACGAGTGAGTCCAAAACAGCCAGAACCCGTCTGCTGCCAGTGAATGGCACTTGGGAGCGAAATCGTGACTCCTTCTCCGAATCGGACTACAACGAAGAGGAGGGTCAGCCATTTGGCAGGCTGCAGCTGCTCAACGACAGCCTCGCCACCACCGAGTGGATGGACGAGGGTCAGGGTCAGAGGTCAGCCCTCAGCGAACCGGAGGCGGAAGCACGATCCCAGGCGGCCAGCATGGAGGTCAAGCAGATCAGTTTCGACAGCGATGCGGACGCCGATCTCGACACCGACACCGATTCCGATCCCGGCCTGGACACCTCCGAGGTGACCATGGACGATGGCTATCCGCCGGATGTGCAGGTCGACGACAAGACCAAGCAGCTGGTCATCGGCGACGTGGAGGGCGAGGAGACGGGCGACAACATGGAGTCCAGCCAGATCACCGCCGACGTGATCAATGCGCGCGACAGCAAGATCGACCTGGTGTCCAAGTTCCTGCAGTACATCGAGCAGCAGCACCTGATGGGCTCCAACTGCGTGGCCGGCACCTCCTTGAACCTGGGCGAGGGCGTCGTCGATCGCTATGCCCAGGACCGCTTTCGCGTGGAGGCCGAGGTGGCCGTCAATCGCGCCAACATGCTGACCAGGTGAGTAGTGAGCGACAGGACAAAGTTTTCCAGTCCGGCCTGCCCCCATCATATTATTCACATGCCAAACTTTTCCAATCGAAAGTTTTCGTCCAGACGGCCGGTAAGTGCAAGTGGAAATGGAAATGGATTCCGAAGTGAATGTGAACAGTTGGGGCCAAGACATTAGTATACTATTTAGCTGAAGGTTGTGTTAAGGTCAATTAAAATATTATTTAGCTTGCATACTTATTTTTGGGGTTTTTGGTAAGTAAGACTTGTGTTTGTTGGGTAAATTTCCAGAAAGAAAATGTTAGGACTTTTCAAAAAAATCTTTATCATATGCCTCACAAAAATAAGTGCAATGATAAAATAAATAAATGGCTTAAATAAAATGCAGTTTATCCGAAATATAACTTTAGTGAAAAATTGTTTTAAATTAAATGTAGTTTGTCAGAAGACTTTACAAAACTCCTAGCCTATTTTAATTTATCTTTTCCAAGCACTCAAATTTAACCTATTCGTTTTTCTCTAAACTTCTTTTTATTTAATGTTCCCTCCATATTTAAATATCACCATAAACCGTTGGCTCTTCCTCTTCTTCCTCTGGGACCTCGGCCTCCTTGGGCAGTAGATCCTCTTCGGAGGGCGTGAAATCGTTGGTGATGTGGAAGGTCTGCCGAATCTCCTCTGCCGTGTGGCCCTTGATCATGTTGGCCACTGTCATGCAGGCGGCATTAAGTAGACTACGGATGTCCAAATAGTTGGCAGCCAGGATGAGCTCGAAGAGAGTGCCCTGATCCATGGCCAGAAATTCGGCATCCCAGGCACTGATTTCTACCATTGGCCTGGCCGCTTCTCCTCCATACTCGTCTTCATTATCGCCCTGATGGTGCTTGGCCCAAATCAGTACCTTTTTCAAAATGGCCGAGTTCACATTGGGCAGCGGAATAAGTGGGTCATTCTCCGCCTCTGCCCCCAGGCCTCCACAATCGTCCAGCAGGGTTTTAATCATACTCGAACATTTGGCCGTTTCGGCATCGGTGTGAAAAATTTCGCCATCAGAGGTCTGCAACTTGACGACCGGCATGGTATTTCCCCTCCAAAAGGGTGCCCTCTGGAATTTATACAGTACAATTTTAACTCGCAATTTGAATGTGCCTATGTGACAGTTGAAAATGTACAAACGTGACTGTTTTGATTAATTAAATGGAAAGAATATAGAGTTGTTGAATAACATTGGTAAAATAGTAATATAAAAGAGATTCGAGTCACTCCAAAAGGTAAGATAGATAGATAAATATAAATATAATAGATTTTAAAAAAATATTTAATTTATTGCATTTGGGTTTTTAAATAATAAAAAAGTATTCAATGTTGGTATAGAACGTTTGAGTGGAACTAAATCCTATTGGTTTAAAAAATAATTTTATACTTATTCTTAAATGTAAAATACTTACTTTTTAGTTTTATTTCTTCAATTTTATTTGTGTAACTCTTCTTTTATTTTTATTCATTTTAATTTATGCAATTATTCTTTTATTTTTAGAGAACACAGATTTAGATAAGAGGGCTTTAGATAGCCGCTCACAATAGCAAAAAAACAAAGTTGAGAACTCTCTCTTCAGCGGAAATAAAAAATCGAAAATAAATACCAGGGAGCCCTGGATTTCCTGAGCATTTTTCTTTTTTTTTTTGCAACCATCTCTCATCGTTGGGCGTTCACGTTTCAGTAGTTATTCGCCAATTTCTGCTCATCCAGATTGGCAAGTGGCCTTTGTCAACAGCGAGCATAATGTGCTTTTCTTGTTGCTGTTGCTGTTGGCCATAGTTGACAAAACTACCTCCGGTTCTCCACTGATTTTCCTCCGATTTTCCCAGAATTTACACTCAGTCCTCGCGTCTGCTTGGCTGCATGCAATTTTTTTTTTCTGATAAAAGTTCAATTACTTAGCAGAGTAGGCGTGCCGTGGAAAAAGTTTGCGACATTCTTGTGGCCAAAAGTAAAACGAAGAGCAGGACATTGATTTACCTGAACGATGGCTATTCATTTATTTTTTCTTGGAATTTCCAGCTGTCCATGCCGAGCAGGTCGATACGGGGCTTTGTTTTCTCGAGTCTATTCCGGTTCCATCATCGATTTGCCAGTATCATGTATCTGGATGAGCACCATACCCAAAACTTTTGCCAACATTTTGAAAGCTCTGCTTTTCTTTTGCTTCCCAGCAGCCAAGCACAATAAAAACAAAGTTTCATCAGATGTCGCATATGTGGGTCCAAAGTCCGAAGTCCAAAGTACTGAGTCCTGTGTCCAAATGTCCCAATGTCCTTGCCTGCATACACGCATCCTATGTGCCAATGCCAATGGCTGTGTGCTTCAAGCGGACATTAGACCTGGAATTTATGTATTTCTGCTTTTCTTTAGTGCCTGTGTTTTTCGTTTGTGGTAAAGCAGTAGAAAAATGAGCGAACCGAAAAAAAAACTTAATTTTTTTTTCATCGACTAACGAAAAGTGGGTGTAGCTGAATTCGTGCAACAGGCCATCGGATGGATGTGATTTGGTCACAAAATTCCAATCACATAATTTTCCAGCAAAGATAACCACTTTCTGCCCACTGATTGGAACAGGAAATCAAAGCCATTTGTCCACGAAAAACTCATTTGTTAAAAGCCACAGGAAAAACGACGACATGACTACAAGTTGGCGAATCTAAAGAATAAATGCTGCCGCTTGTCAATAAAACGCACAAATAAACAATTAACCCGGCCGGCCGACCAGCAGCTTGACAAATTAAGTGACAGAGGAGCTGGCGGCGAAAAGTGTGGAAAATGGGAAAGTGGAAAAGCGTAAAGTGCTGTAACTTGGCCTGGGGAGCAATAAAATGTCAAAGCCTCGCTGCCGTTAACGTCCAATGTCAATAAATTAAATTGTACCCGGCCATGGATCTGGTTTGGGATCAACATTATTGCATTTAGTGTCATATGTCAGGCATTTGTTTTCATTATTTGTTCAATAGGGAATGTGGCCCCTGGGACTGACTTAAAGCAGAAGCCTCTACTGATTTATATAGTTGGCGTTCCATAAACTCAGTGGCAGACACTGGTGGCCCAGTCCCTGGTTCATAATTTCAAGAACGGCGGCGGCTAATCAGTGGCTGTTTTAATCAGTTTTGCCTGTGTTAACATAATCAAGGATGGCCGGAAAACTTTTACTTGGGCCGTGGTATTAAGGAAATTACGAGGATAGGAAGAGGAAAAGCCCGAGGTTCCGTGGCAGGTCTACACAGATATATACTAATTGAAGTTATTGTTTTGTGATACATTGTTATCGCCCTGCCAGCCCGGGATCCTGTCTTGTTCCTGCTCACTTTTTGTGTTTGGGCATTTCCCGTTTACTTTGTTGCGCAAACAAAAACAAGAATAACATTTAAGGAAAACAAAGGCCGTTTCGGGCCGTAAGGAAAAGCTGGGATTGAAGGTGAGTGAGAAGGGAGGAGAAGGGCGGGGTCTGAATGGCAGGCAGTCAGGAAAAACAATATCAATTCAAGTTGAAATTACGAGCTTCAATTGTTTTCTTGCCTTGGCCACTTTTCGTTAGTTTCCGTTCACGCCGCCCAAGTGTAGACGGCAAACAGAAGGGAAAAGCGAATTCAGCACAAACGCACATAGAACACGAAAGTGTGGCAACATGGCGGATGGAATCGGAAAACTTTTAAGTACTTAAATGTGTTGTCGTCGCGGAGAGGTGAGAACCGTGAGTGAAAGGCGAAAGCCGAGAGCCAAAAGGCAAGGCAAAGGACCTGCTGAAATTGAGTTTCCGGTTGCTTGTTCTTTGCCATCTAAACTCTTTTGTTGCGACTTGCTGCTGGCTTCAAGTGCACATCTCACTTATTTGCCATGCAATGATTCTGTTTTTCTGCGGAAGTTCGGCGATAAACTTGGCAAATAATTTATTGCCTTGCCGTCGTTTGTTTCAATTCGCAGTGCCTTTGGAATTCGAGTGGCATTTGCCTTCAGTTCATACAACAAATCGAAATTGAAATCTGCATAAGCGATGCAGTTTCCAATTGCCAGCGGCAATAAAACGCGACAGCAGCAAGGACACCATCAAAGGACGATCCCGTTCCCTTAGCTGCGTCATTGTCAACATCCTTCAAAAGTTCTACAAACGGAAGCAAACAAATATCTGTGCAAGTCAATGTTCAGGAAACAGTTTCGCACTGAGAGAAATATAAGAGCAAAATTTGCCTTGAAAACTTTAAATATCTTTTAAAATATCTTTATCAAGGCGTTATCCCTTGAGCTAAACATACTAATCTAATCAATGTTCAGTAAACCGTTTCGTGCTAAGAAAAATATAAAACCAAAACCTTAAATGGAAAAAAAAAACATTTTAATCAAAGTGTTATCCCATGAAAGACATCTTCTAAAACATTTTTAAAAAATTTAATCGCTTTATTACTAAAACAATTATATGGGGCTACCATTATTTTAAAACCGGAAGTGCGATAGATTTCAAATCCGAAAGTGCGTTCAATTTATTATAAATGACAACTATTCTACTTTATGATTTTTGTAGTTAACATAACGGCATATCTTAGACGATATTTTTCTGAGTGTAGAAAACAAGGCTACAGAAATGCATTTTCAGCTGACTTCTCGCAGTGTGTGCCTGGCTTTAGGACTTTGTGCCGCTTGATTTACTCGCCTCGGCTTTGCCCAGCGGGCGGTGCTAATAACGCTGCCTTTTCCCCGTCCGCCGGTCCGCCCCCTTTCAACCTGCCACGCCCACGACCCACTGTTCCCGCTATTTTTATTGTTCGCCGCAGCAGAATGCAGTTGTCTAGTCCCGAAATGGAAATTGTTTTCATTTTGGCGCAAAAAACAATCCTAACGTGGATTGTTCGTTCTTCGCCCGCCTGCAAAGCCGCAACAGCAACAGCAATAGCAACAGCAACAGCAACTGCAACTGCAACTACAACTGTAACTGACGCGGACGCGGGCATGGATGCCTTTGTAGGCCACCGGCGGCATAGGGTCCCGTTCCACTCCCTCACTGGGCGTAAATGAGGGGCTCCTCTGGAACCACTGCACCATGGCAACATAGCCTCGTAGCATCATAGTACCACTCAGCCACGACCCTTTTTCCAGCCGGTTTAGTTCAGTACTCATATCTGGGCTTGACTCTTGTGCCGGCGAATGCTGCCCTTGTCGGCAGCCTCCTGGCGATGTTGCATGCGAATGCATTGCTTTCTGGATCTGACTCTGGTTCTCTGATTCCCCCTTTCGGGGCTTTTCACTCCGCTGCAGTCAAACCTCTTTAAGTCAAACCAGAATTGCATTTTATTAAATTTGTAATTATTTTCCCAAATTAATGAAATTATATGAATAGTTGTTAAAGATTTGTACAATTATTAATAATTATTTTAAAATAAAATATTACAATATTACAATATTTATTAACAATAAATCTTTGACATTTAAAACCAAGTTCTCTAAAATGGTTTAATAAATGTATGCAAATATAAGAATTTCCTATCAAGAAATAACAAAAATATTTATTGTTACAACAAAATTTAACACTTAACATTGTATTTACAAACAACAAGTAATATTTAAACAATAATTTTCCTTTAGTTTCTGTAGAAAAAAGACCCTTTAGACTTTATAATGTAAGTATCTCTTTTTTTGCTGTATATCTCTGAAGATAAAGTACACAGCAAATGAGTTTTCGCAATCAATTACAGTTTGGGAAGAGCAATCCATTTATAAAATTTCAAAGTTTGAGTAATTGAACTTAGACTGTAGGAAGTTTAGTCGCTAAACGCAGTTCCAACTCAATTTAGTTGGGTTACAGAGCGATTCAACTTAGGGTAGATGGTCTGTGAATGTTTCTGAGGGTTACCCTCATTCAGCGGCTTTACAAACTACACGACTGCATCGCTTTGCCGTGCTTTGTGCAACACATGTTGCCATAACTTAACAGCTTAACAAACTTGTCGAGTATCCAACCCCCCCCCAAAAACAAGTCTTTCGCCTATGTGGCATTCAAGTGGCTGGCCCACTGGCCGAATGCGTAGCGTTTAAGCCGCGCCCCAGTGGCAGCCGCAAAGCTTCTTTCTCCGGAGTCTATTTTTTAGCCATAAAAACATTTGGATCGGAACCCAGAGCCGCAGACAGGCGGCCAA